TTTGGCTTTTTAAATTTCAAGAGTGCCTATTCAAAACATTATTTGACTGACAAAGTCAATAAGAAATTAAGCATTGCAAAAAATAAAATTATTTTATTTTGCCTTAAAATTAAGAGCCCTTATGACATGAATTTCCATATCTGTTCATCAAAGAGAATTGACAGATTTCAGAAGATGCAAAGAAATCATAAATAATATTAAATTCGCCTTTTAAAGAAGTTACAGTTTTGCTCCTTCAAATTCCTCTTACAAAGAAAGCATTTGGCAGCCTTATGCATGTGGATGCCTTTGAGGCCCCATAAGTTGCTTCAGTGAACTGAGTGGTGTTCCAGTTCTAGGTAAATTTGAGATACTTACTTGAGGGTTTAAGAGAATATAATCCCTCAAATCTGTATAATTAGTTACTTCTTATTTATTAATCATGTGGAGAATAATACAAATTTACTATGAAATATAAAATCACAAGTTTCTTAAGTGGCCATATAGAAATTCTTCTGCACCTGCTCTTTTTAAAGATACCGCCTTTTCACATAGGTAGAGAATTTAAGCCTAAGTAGAAATGAACTTCTTTGTTTTCATAATAGTTTACTGAACACCTGCTTTGTGCCTGTACTAAGTACTTTGACTGCATTGCTTGATTTAAGCTTTATAAAAACTCACTTCTAGTCCTCATAACAAATGCGATAAAATAAGTTATTTTACAAATGAGATAACTCTAGCTCAAAATTTGGTCATTACTAGTAAATTATGAGATTGGGATTCCAGAACCATCTCTCCAAAGCCCATTATAATAACCACGATTCTGTACCATCTTCCCTGAAATGTAGATATAAAATATAACTTCAGTTACTGCCAGTAATCAAGTCTTATGGTAGAATCCTGTAGAAACACTTGTGAATGAATGTTTCTATGTATTTTTAATAATTTTAGTCTCAGTTATGTATTACATCATGGCTGTTCTGTGGATCGAATTAGATCTAGAGTTTATGCTAAGGTGGTAGGATATCTGTGCTTCTGATTATGTTCAATTGGAGCTGGCATTGCTTTGGAAGTTAGCAGAAGTACTGTCTCCTAAGGTCTCTGTGTAGTTCTTCTTCTAAGTGGTCTGAGTACTAACTGGAAAACTGCTCAAGGGCCCTGGTGGCCAATTGCCATGTAATGTTACTGTTATTATCACAATGTAAGACACTAACATATTTTATGAATGCTTAAAATGATATAAATGAACAAATATGTATCCTAACTCTCTTTTTTAAAAAACTACAGTTAGACTGGAAAGACAAAGATAAAGAAGGCAAGAGGGGAAGTCATGGGGATATAGTAAAAGAAATGTGACCAGAAATGGTGTAGCCATTTTGGAAAACAGTTACTCAGGTCCTCAAAAAGTTAGAGAGTTACTATATGACCCAGCAATTCCACTCCTAGGTATAAGGCGGCTATGCATAATAACCAACTGAAATATCCATCAGCTTATGAATGCATTAACGAAATGTAGCATATCCACACAATGGAATATTATTAGTCACAAAAAGGAATGAAATACTGTTACTTGCTACAACATGTAGCATGAACCTGAAAATTATGCTAATGGAAAAAAGGCCTCACAAAAGAACCTTATATTGTGATTCCATATATATGAAATGTTCAGAATAAGCAAATCCACAACGATGGAAAGCAGATTAGTGGTTGCCAGGCACTGGAAGGAGAATGGGGAGTGTCCACTGTTGGGTAAAGAGTTTCTTTTTTGGGGTGAAGTAAGTGTTCTAGAATTACATAGTGGTGATGGTAACATGAACTCATGAATATAGTAAAAAGCACTGAATTGCATGCTTTAAAAGGGTGAATTTTATGATATCTGTGAATTATATCTCAATCTAAAAAATATGACCAGAGATTTCTTCTACTTGTAAGATCCCATTGAAAAAATTTATTGTATGAGTGTGTATGTATACACATATATATATATATGAAATATAAATATCTTGATTTCCAACTATTAATTAAATATGTTATAAAATAACCTTGGGCTATCTATCCTTAAACTAAACCATTTGCCTATTATGGGAAAATAGGTAGACAATTGACCTACAGAACACATTTTGAACTTAAAACCTCCAACTGTGCTCTCTGTGTACACACACACACACAGATCTTGCTCTCTTTCTTAAAGTAAGCTGCAGTTATCATAAATCTCTACCCCTAACTACTTTAGGGTATATTTTCAAAGAGCAAGGATATTCTCTAACATAAGCATAATGCAATGATCAAGTTCATGAAAATTAATATTGATACAATATTATTATCCAAATATACTTTTGTTGGTTCTCAAACTGACCCCCATACACAGGGAGCGGGCAGGGGAGACAGAAGAAAGAGGCAGGCCACTCCAGAGTGGCAGGTGACAGATTTAATGAGCAAGGGAACTTACACACAAAGCTTGTCTTGGGCGGCCACCAAACGAGTAGATCTCAGCACCTTCTCACCGGAATGTTAGAAGTTTATACAGAGGCCTTAACAAGGTTCAGTCACATACACCGTCGGGCTGATCTCAACACCACATTGCTTTCTCAAGGCTGCTTCCTTGAAAACATTTCAGCTGTGGGGCCCACAGGCATGACCATCCACCCAGTGGCAGGGAGGGCGGAGGAGCCCCTGACTGCCCAGGTCCAGCTTGAGGGTCAGCCAGTGGTCATGTCCTCTCACGATCGTCCTCCAACTACTTTGCCTATTTGAATTTTGCCAGTTGTCGTAATGCTGTTCTTCAGAGTAACTTGTTTTTCTTGATCCACCATAATACATTGCATTTTAGTTGCCATGTTTCTCCAGTTTAATCTGAAGGAGTTCCTTATCCTTTCTTTGTTTTTAATGACACTGGTATTTGTGAAGAGTGCAGGACTGTGTTACTGTTGTTGTTTTTAAGAAAGTCCATTAATTTGGGTTTGTCTGATAGTTTCCTCATGATGTGATTCAGGTCAAGCATTTTTTGCAAGAATACTACCTGTATTCATTTCCAAGATCTGTTAGAACCAAAACTTGGTGGTTTAAAACAACAGAAACTAATTTTCTCATTTCTAGAGGCCAGGAGTCCAGAATCAAGGCCACCTCCTTCTGGAAGCTCTAGGGGAGAATCTCTTCCTGCGTCTAACAGCTTCTGGTGGTGCCAAATGTCCCTTTGCCTGTGACGGCACAACTCCTATCTCAGCCTTTGTCTGTCTTCACATGGCTCCCCCTGTCTTTCTCCTCCTCTTCCAAGGGCACTTATTGGGGTTAGGGCCCATCTGGTTACTCCAGAATGATCTCATTTGAGGTCCTCATGTTAATTACATCTGAAAAGACCCTTTTTTCCAAGAAGGTCATATTCCTAGATACGAGGGATTGGGACTTGAACATATCTTTTTGGGTCCACAATTCAACCCACTATACGACCTAAGGGATGTTATGTCCTTCTTGTATGAAGATGCATCAAATGCAGACAGAGCTAGGGAACTGATATTTTGTTTAAAAAACAAAACAAAACATGAACTCTTACTGGTACTCTAATTCAAATTAAATATTACATGTTTTTCTTGCCTTCCCACATTCCATATTTGTATCTTCCTTCTCCCACAGTGAAAACCCTAGCTCCTAAGATTATTCAAATGTTTACTTTATAAAGGGCCAGTCCTACAACATGCCTAAAGTAGTTCCAGAATTTCTACACCTATATCATTACCAACAAGAAACTTGGCAAATAAGTTACAAGATCTCTTTGTCCTCCTTCTTTTGGTGAAATTATGTAGCCAAGTTCAAAAGGTACTTGGATCAGTCCCTCCTCCCACTTCTGTGTGGCTATGATATACATTTGATATGCTATTCAGCTCATTTGTTTCTGCTTGTATTCGGTTTTAGGGTTTCTTCTCTCCTCCTTATTTAATTGTATTTATTTATTGAAAAGTAACACTTTAACATGATTCCAAAAATAAAAACTACATAGAAAGAGTACTTACGAAGGTCACCCCCTCCTCTATCCATTCCGCCTGGGTCCTCTCATTCCCCTGCAAACCAGCTTCCTTAGTTTCTGGTTTGCTGTATTTCTAAGTATAAGCAAACCTTCCTTGTGCTTCCTTCTGTAAGTAGATAAACGTATATTTTCCTATTTTGCTTTCGTTTTACATAAAGGTGGCATACCATATGTGTTTCTCAAATGGGGATGGTTTTCTCCCCAGGGGACAATGTCTGAGGATCTTTTCTTTAAGCATCGTACAATGCAAGGTAGCTTTTGAAAATAAACAATTATCTAGTTCAACATACCCATAATGCTCCTGTTATACATCGACTTTTGTACTTTGTTTTTCAACTTAATAGCATATTATGGAAATCATCCTATATCGATTCATAGAGATCGCCCATATTCTGTGTTACAGCTGTACAGACCAGGAACTATAGTGGATTCAATCAGTCTCTTTTGTGTGGGCATTTGGGTTGTTTTCAATATTTTGCAATTACAAATAATGCTGCAATGGATAACCTTACATACTGTGTTGGTAGTGTGGTATTTTTAGAAGGGTACCTACAGAGTAAATTCCTACAAGTGGGTCAAAGGCCAGATGATATGTTGGTTTGCCAAATCCCTCCAAAGGTTTTTTAGGATTTTGTTTTGTTTGGTTTGGTTTTTTTCATTTTTGCCATTATATGAGAGTACCTGTTTCTCCATAAGCTTGCTAGCTGAGTGAGTTGTCAATCTTTTGAACTTTTGCCATTCTGATTAATAAGGAACTCAGTGTAGTTTTAATTTGCATTTCTCTTATTATGAATGGCATCAAAATTTTTTTTGTTCATATTGTATGTCACAATCTCAACTTTTGTAATATTTAATCCAAATAATTTTACATGAAATACAAAAATATCTATAAAGTACAAGGGAGCAATATATTTAAAGTCTGCTTTGGACTTTTCAGATCACCAGGATGTCACTGAGTGAACTAAAATGACTTCACTCTTGCATGCTTTGTGTCCTCCAGGCCGTACATGTCTCTTGGAAGTCTCCGGGATCAAGTCATTTATCCCGATTCAGTGGGTGACATGCATGATAAGGGCTACACAGACCACGATCTGGAATGTATTCTGCACAATGTCCACCTCTATCACATAGTTCAGAGAGAAGGAGGTAAAGTCTGTGCTTCTTTTTTTGAAATGCATTGAACTTTGTTCTTAAAAAATAAACCTGGGTAAAGAGTGTGTGGTTTAATTCGAATATATGCTGTTGCTGGAGAAGAAGCACACAAGTATTGACCGAGTTTACAGCTTTTCTTGCTTGGCCATTACTGACATCCCCTTTCTGACTTGTGATACATTTCATGCAACACTCTAGGCTTTTTATTAAGTCTGCTGTTAGCACTGGAGGACCCTTTTTTTTTTCTTTTTGGAATACACAAGTGTCACTGAGGCCATTGTCAACCTAGATGCATGTAAAGTCCATGACGGAAATATTTTTTTGTCAAGTCTCACTTACATTAGAATTAATGATTTGAGAAATAGATGTCCCGGAACTTCTTTCCTGTTTTCAGGCCCAATCTTACCAATACATTTTTTCCTCTCTCTCAAGCACCACATAGAGAATAAAATAAAATTTAGCAACTTTTGTACTGTTGTTTCTTAGCATAAGACATTCTTGAAGGAATAACAGTTATACAATGCACTTATAAAGGAATTCCTGGACACTAATAAATGGAAAGTCATCCGTGCTCTTGGGTAGGAAGAATTAAAATTATCAAAATGGCCATCCTGCCTAACGTAATCTACAGATTCAATGCAATCCCTATCAAAATACCAACAGCATTCTTCAACAAACTGGAACAAATAGTTGTAAAATTCATATGGAACCAGAAAAGACCCCGAATAGCCAAACCAATCCTGAGAAGGAAGAATAAAGCAGGGGGGATGCTTCCCAACTTCAAGCTCTACTGCAAAGCCACCGTAATCAAGACAATTTGGTATTGGCACAAGAGCAGACCCATAGACCAGTGGAACAGAATAGAGAGTCCAGATATTAACCCAAGCATATATGGTCAATTAATATAGGATAAAGGAGCCATGGATATACAATGGGGAAATGACAGCCTCTTCAACAACTGGTGTTGGCAAAACTGGACAACTACATGTAAGAGAATGAAACTGGATCACTGACTAACCCCATACACAAAAGTAAACTCCAAATGGATCAAAGACCTGAATGTGAGTCATGAAAACATAAAACTCTTAGAATAAAACACAGGCAAAACTCTGTTGAATATAAATATGAGCAACTTTTTCATGAACGTATCTCCCCAGGCAAGGGAAACGAAAGCAAAAATGAACAAGTGGGACTATATCAAACTAAAAAGCTTCTGTACAGCAAAGGACACCATCAGAGGAACAAAAAGGCATCCTACGGTATGGGAGAATATATTCATAAATGACATATCTAATAATGGGTAGACATCCAAAATATATAAAGAGCTCACACACTTCAACAAACAAAAAGCAAATAATCCAATTAAAAAATGGGCAGAGGATCTGAACAGACACTTCTCCAAAGAAGAAATTCAGATGGCCAACAGGCATATGAAAAGATGCTCCGCATCGCTAATCGTCAGAGAAATGCAAATTAAAACCATAATGAGATATCACCTCATGCCAGTTAGGATGGCCACCCTCCAAAAGACAAACAACAACAAATGTTGGTGAGGATGTGGAGAAAGGGGAACCCTCCTACACTGCTGGTGGGAATGTAAATTAGTTCAACCATTGTGGAAAGCAGTATGGAGGTTCCTCAAAAAACTCAAAAGAGAAATACTGTTTGACCCAGGAATTCCACTCCTAGGAATTTACCCTAAGAATGCAGGATCCCAGTTTAAAAAGACACATGCACCTCTATGTTTATCACAGCACTATGTACAATAGCCAAGAAATAGAAGCAACCTAAATGTCCATCAGTAGGTGAATGGATAAAGAAGATGTGGTCCATATACACAATGGAATATTATTCAGCCATAAGAAGAAAACAAATCCTACCATTTGCAACAACATGGATGGAGCTAGAGGGTATTATGCTCAGTGAAATAAGCCAGGAGGAGAAAGACAAGTACCAAATGATTTCACTCATCTGTGGAGTATAAGAGCAAAGCAAAAACTGAAGGAACAAAACAGCAGCAGACTCACAGAACCCAAGAATGGACTAATAGTTACCAAAGGGAAAGGGACTGGGGGAGAGTTGGTGGGAAGCGAGGGATAAGAGGAATAAGGGGCATTACGATTAGCACACATAACATGGGGGTTACGGGGAAGGCAGTATTGCACAGAGAAGACAAGTATATAGCATCTTACTACGCTGATGGACAGTGACTGTAATGGGGTATGTGGTGGGAACTTAATAATGGGGGAAATCTAGTAACCACAATGTTGCTCATGTGATTATATATTAATGGTACCAAAAGAAAAAAAGAAAGAGAATTCTAGTCATATTTTCAAATAGCTTGATAACATATAATCTGATAGCCTAGGCAAACTGCTGAAATAGCAGACTAAAATTCTATGTTTAATTTTGCATGGGTTTTATTTTCTATTTCCCAGCCCATTTACATTATCAGTATAGTGATTAAGAATGTGAGCTTTGAAGTCAAGAGTTCTGGAATCAAATCTTAATTAGCACTGCTCTCAGTTATTTTCAACGGTAAAAATGGGGATGGATATCCAACCTAAAAAGATTCTGTGAAGATTAAAGAAGACTATATAAAGCATAACAGTGGCATATAGTGCATGCACAAAAGTTAGGAGCTAATGGTAACATTACTAGTTACAATATTGATACTATGATATTTTTGTTGTGTGATGTTTCACATAGACATTTCACATGTATTATTTCATTTAAGCCTAATAATAAGCAAATGAGGCCAGCAAGGGAGATATTATTACATTTATTTTTATGGTGTTGCAATATAATTCACAAATGCTGTAAGTAGGAAAGCACGTTGTGTTTTTATCTCATATGGTCAGCTCCTTCCCGGTTTTAAACCACTGTGGCAGAATAAATGTTGCATGTTGATCTTGGGTTAGTTATTGTAAGTAAGCATGTAAGTTTTTAATCTACAAACTCAAATGGAGATTTCTAATTCACAGGGGATATTCTGTTCTTTCAGAAGTCATCAGGAAGCCCTGAACTGTTTCTAATAATGTTCTGACCTTAATAATGTGATAATAATTGTGGGTTTATTGAGTGCTTACTATGCAGAATATACCATATTAAGCAATTTACATTGTCATCTTATTTAATATTTTTAACTGCCCAGGGATGTGGGTTTTACTAACCCCCTTTTACAGACAAAATTCAGAAGTTCAGTAACTTCCCCAGGGGCCCACAGCAAGTGGCAGGACAGGAACTCAAACACAGATCTGACTTCAAAGGCAATGTCCATGGCAGGGTATGCCACTGTGCTATGCCAGCTTCTCATTTCTTAGACACTAATACGAATTGTTACATCCTTACACATTAAAAACAAAAAAGAATTCCTAGGAAACCCACTTGTTTAATCCTTAAACATGAAACATGTTTTTAAGTGAAGCAGGAAAACACACAGCGATGTAAGGATGTCACTTATTTGGAAAAAGCCTATGAAGTTCTGTTTAGACTGGGTGATACTTTGCTTAGAGAAATGCTTTGCCTTAGTGAAAGGTGGAGATAAAAACTGTTTCATTCCATCAAAGAGATGACAAATTAGAAAGGAGTATTAGTGTTAACAAATGGCCATGAGTTAAAGCAGCCTGTACACCTCTAGGAAGCAGGAAAACCATTTTCTTCTTAGGCTGGCTTAGTCTTATTAAATCAGCAGCAGAGGTGACATTATGACTTGAATTCTGATTTATGTGTTCTGTGATTAAGCCATATTGCCTATTAAAACTTCTGGGTTTAGTGGAACGAAGGACATGATATATTGAAATATGTAAAGCTAAAATTTCCTTTGACCCAAATACTTTTCTCTTGGGCCTTCTCAGTTGGCAGGCAGGAAAAAAAATTAAGTCCAGAATATTTGTACACTGTGTAGCAATCTGAGCCTATTTTTCACATCCTCACTTACGTTTCATAAAATGCTATAAAATTCAGCCATAGAGAATATTTTATTTCAACAGTTTTCACTAGAATAACATTAAGCCAAGTGGAATTTTGAGGGGTTTTTTTTCCCCTAATATAAAATTATAATGATACGCTTTTAAATGGACAGAAACTTCCTGGGAGTTTACCCAAGAAAATGAGCTGTGGTCCCCACTGGGGAGTATCATTGGGAAATAAAGAAAAATCTCCTTTTTAGTCCAGTGCACAGAAAACAATAAAAACTCTACTTCCTATTTTCTTTCCCTTTGACTGAGTTTATTTAGAAATTTTAATGAAGGTGAAAATTCAGCTGAGGAGAACGAAGAGGGCAAAGAGCCTGGCTTTCTCTTTCTTAGGGAAAACTAAGCCTTGGACTTGGGATTTAGAAATGTTGTCCTAAGAGTGTGTGTCAAGTTTCGGCAATCATTTTCCTCCTTGGAAATCAGGCTTTGCCTAATATATTCGATTTCCCAATATTCCCACCATAGAAAAGTACTTGATAGTGGCTATCTTTCTAATATGCCCCATGGTTTTCTTTTTAAGTAACCCTTTTTTTTCTTATTACAAAATTAAGATAAACCATAAAAATAATTTTAAAATATAAAATTTTTAAATATTATAAAAATGTGTACTATAAAATGTAAAAAGTCTCATAATTCTATTCTTGAAAATATATGGGTGGGTGTATTTAGTCACAGAAATGCAATAATAATATTTGTCACAAGAAATGGCATACACAAACAATAAAAGTGTGAACATAGACCTATGTATAAATTCTAGCTTTTCTATCTAGCTGTGTAAACTAGACATGTCATTCAGTCTGTGAATTTTAGCTTATCCATATATAAAATGCGATGAATAATATCTAGCTCATAGGGTTATGGAATATGTAATGAGAAAACTAATATAACATGTGAGGCCCATGGAAGCCATTCAGGGTAGCTCCTGTCTATGCTTTGTAGACTACAATGAGCCTATGTAAATTTGTCAATCTTTTTTCCCACCACCTGCCCAATAAGTATACTAACTTTTTGAGATATTCAAAAGGAAATAAAGATTTTAAATGTCAGTATTTAGAATTCTTAAAAGATATTTTTTCAGTAAGAGGAATTACTACCATAAAAAAATGTCAAATCTAAGCCAAAATTCTTATATGTGAGTTCTCTAGTTTACTCAAGTATATTTTCTTACCAGATCCTTTGTGTTAATAACTTCAAGTTGCCAGCAATCACTTGCCCAGGGTAAAAAGAGTAACAATTAAACCAATGCTTTATATAACATGTATTTTTTACCCCTTTTTTAAAGGCTGGGATGCTGTTGTGGACTGGAAAGACGTCCTGTCAGGAGGGGAAAAGCAAAGGATGGGCATGGCTCGCATGTTTTACCACAGGTACGGATGTTTTCCTCAGAGAACTGCGACTGCACTGTTGTACCCAAAAACCTTTTGGGCAAGACTCAGGGTACTCATCCTCAGTGTGAGAATACCTTACTGAAAAATTAGTGCTTAGAATTTACAGTTTTTAAGTTTCTTAAGTTATTTTTTTTCATGTGACAGAGATCTGAGTGGTTTTCTTTCCATTTCCTTTTTGTTGAGTAATGTTAAATGGCAAAATTAAATGTTTATGTATCCCAAATTTGAAAGTAGGATTATTACTAATTTTGAAATGTAAAGACTACATAACCACTATTATACTGCTATGCACACAGTAGGTAGGCATTCAGTAATACCTCTGAATGAAATTATTAAACTGAAACTAAATTGCTTTCTACCACCCAGTAGCCTATTAAGCTTAGTAGTACTGTCCTCCTTGAAAGTCAGACACTCATCCAATGGAAAAAGGAACCAGCCAGCATAGGTCTCAATGCACTCAGAAAAATAGAAATACAGGAAATCACTCCTCTTTATAAACCTTTCTCTTTGCAGTCAGTCAGCTTTATAACCTTTCAAGCACAAAATGCTAGAAAGAAATATTAAAGCTATTCTGATATGTTCCTCTTATTTGTCCTATTCTTCTCTGACAAAGAAATCTCTCTTTTTTAAAATCTTAGGCCTCTGGCAGTGGAGTCTGAGTTGCATGCAGGGCAGGAGGTTATCAGGAAATACGTTACTCACTTTTAATACTTACATCTTGGGCAAAAAGGACCAAGAGTGACATACCTGATGCCTGAATGGAACACAAGCTGGGGCAGATGCAATATTCTTGAAGGAGTTTCAGTGGAAGCAGTAATATTTTTGTAGAGAACTTCTAAAAGCCAATAACGAGCAAAAATATATTTATCAAGTAAACCTCATTAAACAGTTAGCAACTAGTTGACCCACACTTAGCCACTAGTTGGCTTTTAATTTTTTTTTAATCTTCTATTATGGAAAAAGCATCAACACTTGATCCAAGAGGAGACATCTGTAAGATGAGCGTCATATTCCCGTCACGCCCATTCACCAAGTCTGTCATCTCACCACACTTGATGTATCTCTCCTTTCTTTATTTTTGAAGCAGCTCAAAGCAAATCTCAACATCATGACATCTTTTCCTTAAACCACTTTGGCATCAATCTCTGAAATATTATGATCTTTCCTTACATAATGACATACCATAATCATACCTAAAAAAACTTGTAATAATTATTTAAAGACATCCTAACGCCTGGTTCACAAAGTTTCCATGATTGTCTCAAAAATAATCTTTTATATACTTGGTTTCTTCAAATCGAGATCTAAACAAGTTTTACACATTGAATTTTGTTGTTGTATCTCAATTATTTCATTAGCTAAAGAATTTATGCTCCTCTGTGGCCCCTTCTCCCCCACCCGCATCTTTTATGCCATTGACTTACGAAAGAAACCAAGTCAGCTGTCCTGTAGGGATGTTGCCCTTCTAGATTTATCCGATTGCTTCCTCATGGGGTCCTTTCCCTCTCCTCAATCCCCTATTTTTCTTATAAACTGGAAATTAGGGCTAAAATCTTGATTATATTTAGGTTCAGCCTTTTTGGTAAAAATGTAACAAGATATCTATCATTGAAAAAAGAATATCATTTTAACAATTTTATTAAAATATAATTATGTGTTCATTTCATAAAAATTAAAAAATTAGATAAGTAAGAAAAACATGTTATCTTATTGCCTATGTCAAATAACAAAAATTCAAACAAGTACATTTTAAAGATCTAATTGGCTTTATTGAACAGTTTTTGAATTGAGAACCATCCCATCTAGCACATAGGAAGGTGTCCACAGGGCTACAGAAAGGGACAGGTTTTTAAAGGCAGGACCAGGAAGTCATAAACAAACAGACAGAAGAGGGTTCTTTCAGACACAGTAAACTCCCTTTCAGGGGATGAAAGGGTCTTATGAAGTGGATTACCTCACTGGTGCTGACCAGAAAAATCTGGACTAACCAGTAAAGATTACCATCCTCGGAAAGGATGAAGTTGCAATTTGTCAGGTATGAAGCCCTGTTTCCATGACGTGGGCCTAATACAAGTAACTCCAGCATAGAACCACGGGTTTCTTTTTAATACCAACATGGGCCCATGGATATCATTTAAAATTCTGGGATAGTTTTATTCATCTGGGATAGGTACACAGAAGTTGTTATCTTGATTTCTTTTAAATATAACTATTTTCCTAAAGTACATTGCGATTTCTGTCCGTCTTCGTGTACTGCTGTGTAATGGCTGGTCAGGGGTCGTGATGACGATGAGCATAGCATTTTTGTGCCGAGTGCCCAGACCTTCGGCATCCAGTTTGGTGACTTGACAAATGTATATGCATTATGTAACCAACACCCCAATTAAGATAGAAAACATTGCTTTTGCCCTAGAAAGTCCTTCATACCCCTTTCCACTCAGATCCCCCTTAGAAAATTTTTGTTCTGATCTCTATCATCATAAATTAGTTCTTCCTGTTCTGCAACTTCACATCAATTAAACTAAATGGTATGCATTACTTTTGTGTCTAGCTGGAGTTTTCTAAAGATAAAAGTTACTGTAATAATATGGTATTTGTAATATGCACATTGTTAGTTCAAGAATATGTCAAGCTAAAAAAAATGAATCAGAACTTGCTAACTCAGAATTTTTAGCTCTGAGATATAATTTGGAATGCCCTTTTCTCAGATGATGTGGTGAAATTCAAGAATAAACTTTACAGTTTGACATTTATGACCAGCTGTTACCCACTATCACCCTGAATCTGTTCATAAATATTCAGTAATATGATCACCAGCATAGTTGGTGAAATATAATACAGTGGAATGTAAATTGTGACCCTAAATTTCTCACTGTGTCAGTTTATTTAAAAAAATAAACCCTGTAATAAAATCAAGAAGCATTAATAAGTGTTGCCAATCCAAAGAGATTTCAAGTGCTTGTAACCTGAAATAGTTGATGCTTGTATGCCTGAAGTATTTTGGCTATAATGTGAGACTGAATAAAGATCCAGTTACAAGTAGATCAGAGAAAAGAAAACTCAGTGATCTACACAGGAAGATCCGTGAAGATGAGCACGTTGTTAAAGAGCAGAATCTACTGAGAAAAAATTAAATGAAATCGAAATATTAAACCCAGTGAAGGAAAAGTATAAAAATGAGAAACTGCCTCCCCTCATCTTCAAAGGATAAACAAGGTGTGCACAGCAGCGTGAAAGACCTGAGCTATCTAAAGTCAAGAACTTTGGCAAGGAGTATTAACTATCCTAAAACTATGAACTTTTTGGGAGGATTTTAATTTTAATGTTTAATGAATGATCAAAAAAGTCCTCTCTTAAGGAGGATAGATTAGATCTTTCACAAGGCTCACTCCGCTACTGATATACTAAAAGCAAAAAGGAAAAGCTGATAAGCAATATTATCTAATGTTTTACTTAGTTATATCAATTCCAGATTCCAGCTACTGTTTAAATATATTTAAACACACACACCATCCTGCCAAGGAAACAGAAGTATGCTATCTACCTTTTATCTGCTGCACTAAGGGTGCTATGAGAACAGAGTCTAAAATATATGCTTTTTTCTAATTTTAAATGACTTCTCTGTTTAAGCTGAAAGCACTCTGAAAAAATAAGACACAATAAGTAACTTAATAATGGAGGGGGATGAAGGGGAGGATGACTACTCTTTTGCTTTATTATTTACCACCTTTAATAACGTCATATATTCTTTTGTTCCTTTGAGTTAACACTGCACCTCATGTGGTCCAAATAAAGATCTATGACTGAAATGGGAAAATATTAATGTATATATGTGTTTGATCTTTTCAAGACCAAAATATGCATTGCTAGATGAATGTACGAGTGCTGTCAGCATTGATGTTGAAGGAAAGATATTCCAGGCTGCAAAAGGGGCTGGCATTTCCTTACTGTCTATAACACACAGGCCTTCTCTTTGGTAAGTGTTTCAATGCTAATTTGCAATAGATGGTCTTTCTTTATACTTCTTAAAGAATAAATTTGCTAAACTGTTACTTTAGAACATTGGATATTTCACTTATCTTCTACCTGTATTTCTGTTCAGTTGCCCACTAGTTGTTTAGATACCACAAAACTAACATCATGATATTGATGTGCTGTCTGAAAACTGACATCACATTCCAATGATTCTGAGAAGAAGCAGAAAAGTCCAGTGAGTTTTTTGTAACTGCAAATACTCATAATTCCATAGCATGTGCCAGGAAAGAATATATTAATAAAATGTCACATCACCTTTAGTCTTTGAAAATCCAGGAAAAAAAAATCACAACTTGATATTTCCCCAAATGACAAGTTGGAAAAAACACAGAAACGAAAAGGTTTGGGGTGAGGGGGTGGGCTTTGTTTTAAGGGAAAAAATTGAATGAAAATATTTTATAAATAATATCTCATAAAACATAATGGGATTTCTCCTTTTTAAAACATTATACCATTTTTATCATTCTCCTACTTTCCCATCGGTTCATCATCATAGTAGTTGCTAATGCAGATTCAGCACCTATTCTGTTTCAGGCTCATTTTTATTTAAGTCTTTTAACAACCCAATAGGGAGTCTAGTTATTCCCATTTTAAAGGTGAAGAAACTGAGAACTAGAACAATGAGAAAAGTCATATGCCATGATCACATCCTCTACCCTAAGTATACTGTTCTACTTACAATAAGGAACTCAAAGTATATGTCCTGCATAAACCATAAAAACCCCTTTTCACTCACACTATATTCCACTGTCTACTTTTCACATTTCTTCAACCAAAATCTTTTCTTTTGACATATTAGTAACTATAGTGGACACCATGCCTTGGCCATCTAATTCCCAGGGAGAGGCAGGACTCCTGCCCTCTCTTCAGCTGGAACATTATTTAGCAGGTCGCTGATCGCATTCTCTGCCAAAGCTGTCATTATACACTACATGACTCCAAACAGACGGAGTAGCAAGTGTTCGGTTAATCCTTGAAGCCCCACTAAGCCTTTCACCTTATAGAGAATATTTATTTTCAAATTGCGAGTAAACTGAGTGTTCAAAGTCTTTGTCTCTGAATTCAACTTCTATTAAGAAGATAACCATCTATTTTCACACTTCATTTAAACATTGAAATTTTTCATCACTTTTTTTTCTCAAAGAGTTGGCCTGAAAGCAGAACATATCATGAAGTGACCCTCTGTGGAACTTTATTGGCCCCTGGGCCTAGTCCAGGAGGAGTTAGAGTCCATGTCAATGAATGTGATTCCCCTAGCTCTTCTCTAGAGAAAACCAACAGGAACTGGATCTTTAAGGCAGTTATGACCCTTGCCTGCAGGTCCTCTGCATCAGGGATGACACAGAACTAGGCCAGAAGACCTCGCGGGCCCCTTCTCGTATGGACTTGTCATTTCCAGACAAGCTTCGTGACTGACCATCTGTTGGGATAACATAAAATTATTTCTTCCTTTGGTGTTTTTCCAACTTCTATAAATGGAGTTATTATGCTATCCAGTCATTCAGTTCCTTATTCAAGTAGCCTAAAGAGGGACTAAAAGTATATTCAGCGAATTTTTTCCTCAACTGAAGGAACAGATAGGATTTTATCTTTCTTGTTTCTAAGACTTTATTTTTATTTATATATTTATTTATTTATTTATTTATTTATTTATTATTTTTAATAAAATGCTGAAGTGGTAGGTAGATGCAAGATAAAGGTAGAAAACATAGTTTAGTGCTATAAGAGGGCAAATGTAGATGATCAAGTGTGTGCCTGTAGACTAAGTATTAATCCAAGCTAGACAAGGGCAACAAAACATCCACGGATGCAGAAGATTTCTCTCAAAACAGTGGGGGTGAGGTTCTAGGCCTCACCTCTGTTGGCTCCCAATTTCTCACCTGATGGCCCCCCTGGGACTGTGCCTGTCTTAGGTTGTTCCTCCCTTGAGGAATTCTAAGACTCTATTTTTTTAGAGTAGTTTAGGGTCCAGCAAAACTGAGAGGAAGCACTGATGGACAGTGACTGCAATGAGGTTATGGGGGTGACTCGATAATAAGGGTGAATGTAGTAACCACATTGTTGTTCTTGTGAAGCCTTCATAAGAGTGTATATCAATGATACCTTAATAAAAAAGAATATATATAAAGCTTTAAAAAGAATTAAGAGGAAGGTACAGAAAGAAAGAAATATGCCTTATACTCCCTGACCCCACACATGCATAGCCTCCCCCATTATCCACATCCCCAACCAGAATGGTGCATTTGTTACAATTGATGGACCTATACTGACACATTATTGTCACCCAAAGTCCATAGTTTGCACTAATGTTGTATATTCTATGGGTTTGAACAAATTTATAATTACACGTATCCCCCATTATAGCAACATACAGAGCATTTTCACTGGTCTAAAAATCCTCTCTGCCTATTCATCTCTCCTATCCCCCAGCCCCTCAAAACCACTGATATTTCATGTCTCCAAAGTTTTCCTTTTCCAGAATGTTATATAGCTGGAATCACACAGTACATAGCCTTCTCAGATGGGCTTCTTTCACGTAGTTATTCATTTGTTTCCTCCACGCCTTTCATGGCTGGCTAACTCATTTCTTTTTAGCACTGAATATTCTCCCACTATCCGGATGTCCGCAGTTTGTTTATCCATCACCTACTGAAGGACATGGTGGTTGCTTCCAAGTTTTGGCAATTATGAATAAAGCTACTCTAAACATTGCTAGGAAGGTTTTATGTGGGCATAAGTTTTCTCACCTCCTTTGGGTAAATATCAGTGGGCAACTGCTGGATCCCATAGTAAGAGGGCATTTCGTTTTGTCAGAGTCTGCAAATGGCTGCCAAGGTAACTGTGCCATCCTGCACACCCGCCAGCAGTCAGCCAGCTCCTGGGGCTGTCCAGCCTCGTCAGCACTTGGTGGTGTCAGTGGGCAGGATTTGGGTCATTCTAATAGGTGTGTAGTGGGCAAGTAATTTTTTAGCAAACAACAAAATTTGTCATTTTACACCTTTTAACAAGAGAAACATGTTTTTAATTCCAGCTCTTCACAATACAATTCCCCATAAAACTAAAAATCATGTTAGTTCTATTTTATGAGTTAGGTTAGCCATTTTAGGTCATAGAAATCTATCATTCTGATTATCCTTCCTCCCTAGGAAAATTCTTTTTTTTCCCCTGAAAAGATTTCTAAAGAGGGAAAATTGTATTTTTCCCCATAACAACAAATGGGTAATTTTGATTGTAAAAATTAAAATCAATACCAGTATATGATGATGGAAAAAATTATAGTAGCTTATTAAATTATTTAATTCCTGGATATAATTATAGCTTTATAATTACCACTTTCCTATGCTTTATCCTATTTGTGCAGGAAGTCTGCAAATTATTTCCAATGAGCCTCAGATAATATAAATTCCTCTTTTAAATTCCTCTAAGATAAACTCTGAAATATTATTTTATCCCATAATATAGAACACACCTCTGAATCTCAAGCCATGAAACACCTATACAGTCTCTTCCTCCCAGGTAGAGATCAAATAATGTTGAGGGGCTGGAGCGGCAAGCCAAACCATCGTTATATATTAAGACGGAAGTTGCTCAAGATATGAACTGCTGCGTTCTGTAATTGCTCCTGTTTGTTGATCCAAGGTTAGGAAAGTCCAAGAGAGGCTGAGAATGAAACAAAGTGTTTTTTTTTTCCATTATTTCTTTCTCATATGGCCACCCTTCCTTTGTTCTTCCATTACTTTTGTTTTAGTTCTAATATTTTAATAGAAGTAGTCTCATGTTTTAGTGTTCTCCCTTGACATGGAAATCAGTTTTTTGATTTGACTTTTGTAAGGTCCCACCTGTTTGAGGTCAATTTTTTTGAAAACTCAAGAACTTAAACAGCAGATTCTCAAAAGCATTTTGAAAAGGTCATTAATCTCCATCATATGGTATCAAGTACATGATCTTTAACCTTTAGCATGAGAGTGACTGTTTTAGATGTAGTTTAACCTGGCTTAAGTACTTTTTTCTTATTAAAAAATTTTACTTAAATGAATATAATTTACCTACATTAACATTTATCCATGTAAATGTCCAGTTTCATGAGTTTTGAAAACCATGCATAGTTTTATTATCACTTCCACCACGTCAAGATACAGAACACTTCGTCGCCCCAAAAAATTCCTGTTGCACTCGGTCCTCTTCCCTAGCATTGCCTCTGTGAACCACTGGTGAGCTTGCTGTCACTCTATTTTGCCTTTAGATGTCATATAAATGGAATCATACAAGGTGTTGTCTTTTGTGTCTGGGTTTGTTCCCTTAGTTTCAGTCCTTTTAAGATTGATACATGTTGTTGCATAGATCAGTAGTGTGTTACTTGTTAATTGCTGACAGTATTCCACTGGATGGATTTACTGCAGTTTATCTATTCACTTGACACACATTTAGGTTGCTTCCGTTTAGGGCTGTTAGGACTAAAGCCGCCATGAAAGAGCGTTAATGCACAGGTCTGTATGTACACAGATGTTTTCATTTCTCTTGAGTACTTACATAGCTAGAAGTGGAGTTGCAGGATCATATGTGGCAAGTAAAGTTTAACCTTATTTGGAATCCTGAAATTGTTTCCCAAAGAGGTGTCCCCATTTTTGCCTTCTCATCTGTAGTGGAGAGTAAGCTACAAAACCTGTTGAACACTTGATATATTCAGTTTTTAAGTTCCAGCCATTTTAGTGGGGAAAGTAGGATCTCACTCTGGTTTTAATTTGCATTTGCCTAATGACGCATGATGATTAGTTTATTTTCAATTACTTACTGGCCATTCTTATATCATCATTGGTGAAGTATTTGTTCAACTCTTTTGCCCATTTTAAAAATTGGTTGCTTGTCTTCTCATTTTGTTGTAAGAGTTCTTTATGTATTCTGGATATAAGTCCTTCATTAGATAGATGTTTTGTAAAATATTTTTCCCAGTCTGTGTCTTGCCTTTTTATTTTTAACAGTGTGTTTCAAAGAAGAGAAATTTTAAATTTTAATGAAGTTCAGTTTGTCAGGTTTTTTTTTTCACTTATGGATAATGCTTTTTGTGTTCTAAGAAATCCCTCTAACCCAAGGACACAAATCTTTTATGTTTTTTTTTTTTTTACTGCAGTATCATTGATATACAATCTTATGTTTATTTCAAGTATACAACATAGTGGCCCATATTGTCAAATCCTCATCCCCACTACTGCAGTTACTGTCTGTCAACATGTTGACAAGACATTACAGAATCTTTGGCTATATTCTCCATTCTGTACTACCGTCCCTATGACCAACTTATATTATGATTGAGAATTTCTGTGGTAACCTGGCTTATTTTATCATCATAGCATGTTAAAGCCATCCAATCAAAATGAGATGAAACACAAATGTCTATCAACTGATGAACAGACAAACAAAATGTACAAAACCATGCAATGGAATATTATTCATCCATTAAGATGAATGAAGTACTAATACATGCTACAACTAGATGAACTTTGTCACCATTTTGTTAAGTGAAAGAAGTCAGTTACAAAGAGGCACATATTGTATGAGTCTGCCTATATGATTTGTCCAGAATAGACAAATCCATAGAGACAGAAAGGAGATCGGTAGTTGTCAGGGCTGAGCAGAAGCGCAAAAGGGGAGAGACTGCTAATGGCTGTGGGGTTTTTTCGGGGTGAAGAAAATACTCAGCAACTGGATAGTGGTGATGTTTGCATGAACTTGTGAATATACTGGAAAAAACTGAATTGTACACTTAAAAGAATGAATTTATTGTATGTGATTCATATCTCAAGTTTTAAAAAGGAGGTAAAAGCCACTTGAAATAAGCCCACTGATTGTCATAAATAATGACAAGGGACAGTTTAAAAAGGAACAAGAAGTGGGAAAAACTAAGGGAAAGACATAAAAATTGAGGCCACATAAGCACATGGGCCACTGTGGCACAGTACAACTGCAGTGGCTCATGCAGCATTACTCTGCCCACATCCCCCACAAATCCCAGAGACTGAGGACTTCAGCCTACGTTTAGAAGAAAAGGTATTGTCTCCTGCCTTGTCAGTAAAATCATCTCTGTACCTCTCTAAAGTTCCTAATTATGAACCGGAGCCATGAGTAATGAGTTAAATTATATGAAGGCATAGAAGTTTCTTTAAAATAAATTTTTATCAAAGAGTTCATTTCTTAAAACTGTAATTATTAATAATTTTTTGCTTATATAGAATAACTCATCCCTAAAGGAGAGTGTATTAATGAATTGGTATCGTGTTTCTTTAATTTTTAAATTTTTTTTCTGCATAACTTTACGATTTTTTTCTCTCTGCTCTTTCCTTCTTGCTACTCTAAGTATGGTTTGATATTTATTCAGGAGCCACACAAGGTTGTGAAGATAAATTAAATAGATGCAATGAGCATGGCTTCCTTTACAATTCAAATATATTTAGAATATGAATAAATTTAATATAAGCAGTAGAATTTCCTAGAGATTAATGACTTTTGGAGTAAAAATTCACAATATTTAACCTCTTAAGGGAGTCTTCAAAAGTCAAATGTAAAATAGCCACCTTACTTACAATTTGCATTTGGATATTGATTAGAATGATAAACCTACAATTAAAGTGGCTTTTTGCAATTATTGCTGATAATATTCTTTCATTTTGATTATGCAGGAAATACCACACTCATTTATTACAGTTTGATGGTGAAGGAGGTTGGCGCTTTGAGCAATTGGATACTGCTATCCGTTTAACACTGAGTGAAGAAAAGCAAAAGCTAGAATCTCAGCTAGCTGGAGTTCCCAAAATGCAACAGAGACTCAATGAACTGTGTAAAATTTTGGGAGAAGATTCAGTGCTGAAAACAATAAAAAATGAAGATGAGACATCCTAATTCGTATTGACATGTTAAAAAAGTTAATTTTTAGGTAAAGGCTCAGAAATACCCTATCATAGTGCATGCATTGTGTTAAGATAAGCACAGAGAAGAAAAGACAGCAAGAATGTTTTACAAGATTTTAGCATCAAGGAAATATATGATCTGCTTTTTCAGAAGAAAATAAACAAATGCATTATGTAAGATTAGTCATTATGGCTTATACTAATTCACGTGTAAAGCAGGATTTTCTAGGTGAATTCATGATGTTACCAGATTTACTATATATATATATATATGATCTGTCTGAAATTCCTAACAAACATGGGGTATCTTGAGATTGGAACAATTTAAGAGCAGCATTTGGGTTGAAACCAGGTGCATAAAATTAGAAGTTTGAGTAACATTTCCGTCCACTTATGGTTATTGAGTTTAATAGCTAAAATTCATGTTCATCATTGCTAGTGCTCAACTAAACCTGTATGCAAAATAGCTGACAATTAGGTAAATAATTTCAATCCGAAAAAAAATATTTTAATGGCATTGGTTGAAAAGAAGCATGTCTAAATGCCATTTTAAAATTTTAGATTTTTTTTGAGCATCTTAATGTGGGCGCATGATCAATTAGTTTTAATGAGAACTTTACACATTTCTTAATAAACTCATTTTAAAAGAGGATTGCCAATACAGAAAAGGAATATCCAAACAAAATCTCACCTGTTACTTTGCTTGGCAGCATTATTATTGCAACTTCTGTCCAGAAATACTCAGCTTGTTTTTGTGTTCAGAGGAGGATTCCACCACATTTTTAAAACTGCAGTGCTAAAATAGAAAATGAGGATTCTCACAATCACAGTAGTAATAACATACTTTGGACTACTGCTTTAAAAGTCACAGTAGTCATTCACATCGTTTCATTTTAATCCTTGCAGCCATCTTTTGTGGCAGATCTTATTCTTCCTGGCTTGCTTTTGAGAATATTAACCCTCAGACTAATTATCTAGAAATCAAATGAAATTCTTCCAATTCCCTGACTCAGTGCTATTTCCACTATTGTCCTTGAAATCTAACTAGATTTTTATCAATAAAAATCAGATGAGGTGTTGAAAAAGAAAATAAAGTTGGAAATGGTAGCATTATTGTTATTTGGTTTTTGTTTATAAAATATGGCAATTAAGTACAATGTGGAAAGGTTATTGGCCTGTGGTTTAAAACAAGCCAAGCCAGTTAGCAAAACTTTGAGCAACTATGCACTTATACTCAATAATAATGTACCTCTACAGCTGGCAATCAGAAAAGAAATTAACTGTGTTCTAGGCAAATGTAATGTTTATTGAACAAAATGAGAAACAGGCTGTATGGAATAGTTTATGAAATAAAGCTTGTCTACTCGTGTTTCCTGGAGTTGGAAGTACAGAAGCCAGGGCAAGCATTTTAATTTCCTATTTCCTATGCCACCATGTTGACAGGTCGGGAAAAATGGGAATGATCAGTTGTTAGTTGTTTAGGATTTTATTTGCATATTTAGGCACAACCATAATCGATGCTTAGTCAGTGATTCTCATACTTTTTCAGTTGGTAGCGTACCTGGAAGTCACTCACGATGACTGTCATTCTTGTGGCACTTTCACATTTTAAGTTCTGCCTTGCTAAGTAGAACATTCTTCATTATAAATAAATATAACCATCTTATATAAAGGAATGCTATATAAAAGCATAATTCCTACATCTAAATTCTTCTGTTATTACCATTAGCTACTCATTTGACTGTTACTACTACTTCCTATTAGAAATGTGAGGCATGTATCTAAGGTTCAAAGAAATGTATGAAACCAAATTAAATTTGGTAAAAATTACTCTTTAACCTATATTAGCAGTAATCCAGTTTATACTGCTAAGGGGAAAAGTCTGAGGCAAATGCCTTAACTTACAAGGTACAAGAAGTAAATGAAAAGTCCTCATTTGAAACATGTACATGATTTTCATAATTTGAAAAAAAAGATTTAGGACCCAGTATATTGTGTTTTGAAACTTTGAAAAGAATGCCAAAACAAACATTAGATTTCTGATTAGCCCTTATTTAACACACCCTATCAATGAGCTGAAGTAAATAAGACTCATTATTTATACTGTATAGGATTCAATGATGTTTAAAATTCTGTACTCAAAATTATATACACTGCAATTTAAATATCAAGGGTTAAAGAAGAACATGTTTTCCAGGAACTTTTTTGTGCCTGTTTATTTTCTGAATTTTCTTCCAGGACCAATATCCTCTGAGTTGCAGGGGGAAAATTTTTGTGATTTGAATTTGTATTTATGCACCATTTATCTGTTTGCAGAATGGTCTGATAAATGTACCATTTTTTGCTATTCTTACAGTTATATTTTAGGAAAAACATGAACATGATTGAGAGACTAAATAGCTATTCCTGAAGATATCAAGGATTAGATGAGAAAGGAAAAAGAGGGGATATTTCAGTTTTAAGGTATTTCTACTATGTTATCTATTTGCCTAAACTTTTGACTTCTGTTTTTTGTTTTTGTCAAAGAAAGCTATAATCATATGGAGATTGATCTTTAAATGTGCATTTTTTGGGTTAACTTTTAAGCTTGGAAAATAAGTTGCATTCTATAAAAATGTTGCATTATATTTCTTCAGCATGGAGAAATGTTATGCCATGCATGACTAAAATGGTGTGTGCTCTTACAAACAAGATAATGTGTAAAAATCCCTCTCCAGTCATCTCAAACAGAATGATAAATCCTGAAATTCAATGCAAGTTCACGTTTGTTTACAATGGGAATGTTTTTCCCTTAATAGTAATATGGTTTTTCTGCCAAATTTTGCTCTGCCTGTAAAGGTATAAATGAACATGTCAGTTTTTTTTATCCGAGACTTTGGTTCCAAGTACAACTTCATTTTTGGCAATAGGCTGAGCCTGTTAAAGTCTGTTTGGAATAGTTTTTGATTCCATAAGCCTAGAAAAATGTGTTACACATTGGAACCAAAACCCAGAGAATATTACACACTTCTGAGCTATGCAGAAAATGGTGGTGATTACTCAGCCATTGATTAAAAGACATGCCTTTGGTAAAATTGTGGGCAGAAATTACTCTCATTTAGAAGTATGAAGTACTTATGCTGATACACAGGTATGTCAGCTGTGTTTTAGAATTGTAATGTTTGCCACATGAGAACTTTCAGATGGATGTATAAAATATTTTTATTAAAAGCAAATTCCTTCTTCACTGTTGGTGCCTTTCCTGGTTAGGTAGTACAGAACTGCTTTTTTATTTTTATTATGAAATGTCAAAACCAGTTATCTACACTTATAACCAGGGGTTGTGTTAATGAAAGTAAATGAGAAAAATATCCTTGTTGGTAAAAATCACTATGTAGCTAAACTAGAATGTGGCTGTGTGTGAATACAATAATATAGTGTCCATCCAATGTGCACTTACTTGAGTTCAACATACCTGTGAATTCCTTAATCATAATGAAAACAGCTTGATGAATCAAAGGAATTACAAATTATTCCAGTGATAGAAAATACCCTATTTCTATATTTTAAATGACTCTTTTGTGGATGTGTCTATCTGCACCTCTGTTATAAGTTGTGTGGTGCACAGCCTTATGTGGCACTATACATGAGATTCACCAAATAGTCGCTTAAATATTTATTTTCTTTATTAATTCAACACACACTTATTTATTAAGTCCCAACCTGTGCCACGCACTGTGATAGAGATAAATAAAATATAGTCCCTGTCCAAAGAAGCTTACAAGCCATTGAAAATTAAGAAAATGAGTCCCCTTAGAGAAAAAGTCAGCAGCTATTCTTTATTATTTACCAACTAGACACAAAGCATTGTTATCTACAATGACTCGTTAAATCTTCACAAATCTAATTTACTAAAAGAGGAAAGTGAAGGCAGAAAGGTTAAGTGATTCATCCCACATCACACAACTACTAAGCAACAAGGCTGAAATTTGAACCTAGCAATATTTTATTACGAAGCTTATCCAAGTCCCTTTCACCTTCCTTTTAATTAGTTTAGTCACTTCATTAGTACTGTTTTCAACTAAAAAGTTCTAAGTACATTTTCAACTGGCTGAAGGTTTCTGGTTAACCAAATAGGTGCATTTTTTTCATCTGTAAAGGAAATTTCCTCATGCAAGTTATATTTTCCTTTTTTTTTAAAAAAAAAAGGATGGATGTGGTCCTATGGAAGGAGAACAAAAGGCAAATTTTCAAATGTTTTGAGAAAGAAATGTTCGAACTGGTTAACCTTCATTTATTGAGTGAATAATTGATACATTCAAGGTACCACAGTTACTGTGCTAGGGATGCAGAAGTGAGCAAATAGACCCGATCTCAGCCCGCCAAACACTTTAGTCTAACGCTGTAGTCAGTCAAAACAAAACAACTTGATGCCCGTTAGATGTCGTGGTCTCGTCGAACTGACATTTGTTTCACAGTATCTTCTCAGTTCTTGTATTTGCTGCCTAAGGCCACTCGGTTGCAACGTTTAACAGTAAGTAAGCTCTGACAGCAGGATTCCCTTGATCATATAGCAAGTATTTAAGGGCTTCAGAATCCTCACACTCTCCAATTTGGTCTAAATGACGAGGTCCAGTAAAACCAGTCTGTAGGACGGTATTGTCCTTCACCAGTAGGTGAGCTAGCTCCCATACATTTAGCACATTGTCCTGAAACCTGAGAAATGTTCGCTTCTCAAGTTCAGATCATGTAAAGTGAGCCTGTTTTGTACAATGAAAAGTATCTCTCTTCTGTTGACACAAAACACAGGTAACTATAGCAGGGAAGTCCAAAAAAAGAAAAAAAAATCAATAATTATAAAAGTGATGACACAGGGTTTCTACAGTTAAAATCATTTAAAATGATATGCTGTATCTCAGTACTTGAAACCCAGAGTAGAAGATAAGGTGATTAAGTGCTAACCTTCTTTGTTTTTATGTGATTTAATACCTATAAAATAGATTAGGCAGCCATGAAGTAATGAAATATTAAATACTAAAAACCATCCAGTTGGCTGTGTCATTTAATTATATTTAGTTTAATTCTTGTAAAATAGGAAACCTTATATATCAAATATATTACTTAATTTTTAGACACCAAACATATTAAGCTTAATTAAAATGTACATTTTGCATTTGTGCATTGCCTAAATATTATGCAAATATATAAAACTCAAAAAGTTTACACTGTAAAGTGTCTCAGCACTCACATAGGGCAAAAGAGCTGCTATAACAAACTGCTGTATTATTTGGAAGCTGATATAATGGCACCTTTTGCAACACGCAGGTATTGATAATTCAAGAGTGATAAAGGATGATGAAGCAAGTGTCAAAGTCTCCTTGTTTGGCTAGCTTATTGCTCAATATGGGACAAATTTCCAAGATCTGTACCGGTGGCCTTTAGATAAGTGGGTTTAAAGTAGATCCAAGCAGATATATATGTTTTCCTACAACCTAATGCACTTGAGCACGTGTGCACACACACACACATATGCATACCTTAGAAGTTAAGTACAAAACAGCATAATGATTTTAAGGACTTAAGTAACTGAAGATTTTTTTTGTTGTTGTGATAAAATATACACAAAACTTACCATCTTAACTGTTTTCAAGTGTCTGGTACAGTAGAGTTAAGTACATTCACATAATTGTGAAGCACATCTCCAGGATTTCATCTTACAAATCTACAACTCTACACCAGTTAAACAATAACCCCTCTTTCTGCTCCCTCCCAGCCCCTGGTAACCTTCCATTTCTATGAATTTGACATGTTAGATACTTCATCTAAGTGGAATCTACAGAACTTGTCTTTTTATGAGTAGCTTGAAATTTCATTTAGCATAATGTCCTCAAAGTTCACCCATATTGTGGCTTGTAATAAGATCCCCTTCCTGTTTAAGGCTGAATAATATTCCATCATATGTATATACCACATTTTGTTCATCTATTCTTCCACTGATAGAATGGGTTGCTTCCCCTTCTTGGCTACTGTGACTAGGGCTGCTATGAACATCGGTGCGCAAACATCTCTTCAAGACCTTGCTTTCACTTCCTTTGCAGATATACCCAAAGGTAGAATTGCTGGATCATATAGTAGTGGTGTTTTTAATTTTTTCAGGAAACTCTATACAGTTTTCTTCAGTGGCTTTGCCAGTTTACATTCCCCACAAACAGTGCACAACTTCTCCATATCCACACCAACACATGATATTTTGTGTTTTAGTTTTCTAGTTTGGAGTTTTATCTTAATGGGTGTGAGATGATATCTAATTTTGGTTTTTATTTCCACTTCTCTGAGGATTATGATTAGTGATGGTGAGCATCTTTTCATACACTTCTTGGCCACTTTATATCTTCTTTGGAGAAATGTCTGTTCAAGTCCTTTGCCTGAAGAAATTTTTTTTAATTGAAATTTGTTTCACGGTGTGTTGGATCCTCCATGATCCGGCCTCAGTCTATTTCCTCTGCTCCCCAAAAGCTCTCTCCTTACCCATCCCCCATTCCCCTGCTCCTCAAACCCTCAGCTGGACACAGCAGGTGTTCCCTTTTACTTTCTCTTTTTCATTTTGTTTTTTCAGTCAGGAATGTCCTTATTCCACCATCTTCATCTACCAAAACCCTGAATAGCTTTAAGGACATTGTAAATTCTCTCCAGTTACATTTAACTTTTTTTTCCCTTTTTTAGGCTTACACTTTCTTTGAAATCCTATCACATTTACCACATGCTACCTTTTATTATTTATCTGTGTACCTGCTATCTTCCCCATTCATTTATTTATTTAATCAGTTAATCGTTTGTCATGAAATATTCTCAGAGTTTTCGATCTAGTGCATCAGTTTTATTTATGTAACTTATTTCTCCATTTATCTTACGTGGTTATCTGTTAGTTGATTATTTCTGCCTACAGCACCTGCCCTCCTTAGACTATAAACTCCACGGACCAAGAATCTTGCTTGTCTTATTTACTGCAGTATTCAAAGCACATAGAGCAAGACATGGTAGATGGGGAACACTTAAAAAGTATTTGTTCAGTAGTTATATAAATGAATGAGTGAACAAATAAAAATTTAGCAAAAGAACAAATATAGAAATAAAATAATGAAAATGAATTAATGAGAATGAAGGAAATCATTGAAGGAGAGATAAAAAGAAGTCCATGTCTGTACTCTTCTTTATAACCTTATATATTAAACCCGCACTGCAAAGTACAATTATAATGGGCAGGTATATTTTCTTTTCTGCTGATAGAAAAATTGAGCATCTTGGGGATTTTATACTATTTGCTTCATCCACTTTCTTTCCTTCTCTCCAGAATAAGTTAAGAAGTAATATATTGGTTTTGATCTTACTAAGACAATACTGATTATAAGTTTCACAGACATTTCTTCTATTTCATTGATTTAATAGCAACTAGGTATCACATTAACTCTCTAATTAAAACGTAGCACCACGTTTTCTTTCTCTCTGAAATCCTCTTCTTTCTGCTTCTCTGGTGGGTCTCAACACCCCTCCAGTCAGGCAGAATAGGCCCAGGTTCATATAACCCGTGCTTGCATTATCAATCCCAATGACCATAAACAGGTCTTTCTGCAAATTAGAGTCAGGAATAGACTTTTCCTGACTTTAATGTTTATAGAACATTCAATGCCAGCAGAACACCTCTACCCTAATGATCACTGGACTCTTCATGATAAGAATAAAAGGGTCAATTCAAAGCAGAAAGCAAATTTCAGTTCCAAGCTGTAAGAGAGCAAGTCAGCATGGAGCACCTCTGTCCCCCTCTCAAGCCCCGGTGCGGGCTGCCCCGCGCAGGGCACAGGGAAACAGGCTCTGGGGAAAGCCTGCTCGGGTGAGTCCTGGCTCTGCCACAGTCCCGCTAAGCATGTTATTTAACCTCTTCCTGCCTCGGGTTTATCAGTTTTTAAATGGAGATGATATTAGTACTTACTTCATAACGTTGTGAGGATTAAATATATTATAAAGTGTTGAGGAGCAAGCATGGCATATGTCTACAGTCATTACGATTATGACTCTATTAGTATGATTTGTTTAAATGAAAATCCAACCAGTAGCCCTCAAAAAGGTTGTTTCTGATTGAGTCGTGGATTGAGGCAGGGCTAATTCAGGCAGGATGGGTGGTCTGAGACCCCAAGTGGGAGTTTCCGGAGGACAACCAGCTCAGCGTCTGATGCGGGGCAGCTACTCAAT